CTCAACAACTGGTGCAGCCTCTACAGGTGCAGGGGCCTCCTCAACAACTGGTGCAGCCTCCACTGGTGCAGGGGCCTCCTCAACAACTGGTGCAGGCGTCTCTTCTGGAGTTACAACTTCAACTGGTAGAGTATCCACTGGTGCAACGGCCTCTTCTGTTGGTGCAGCCGCTTCTTCTGCCGGAGCAGCTTCTACTGGTGCAGGGGCCTCTTCAAGCACAGATGCAACTTCCACTGGGGCGATGACCTCTTCAACCACTGGTGCAGCTGCTGCTTCTTCTGCTGGTATAACCTCCACTTGTGCAGGAGCTTCTTCTGCAGGTACCAACTCGTCCTGTACTTCAGCTGTCTTCTGTAACTCTTCAATAGAGGCAGCTACCGGCAGCACTGCAACAAAAAAATCCAGCCATCCAAACATCACTGATGCTAGTTATATTTTCCCACATTTAGTTCACACAACTCGAGGTACTTCACCAAGGCAGCTTGTGAAACCCTTCTAGTATTAGCGTGAGCAGATGTGTTTGGGACATTGTGAGTACATGCAGGTGCAAGGTCAACCCACAGAAGAGTTGATGAGAAACATAAGTGTGCCAGGAAAGGTGCAATAGTTAGCAGGGCCCCAAAAGTGCAATAAGCTAGAGTACTGGCAGACTAATGTATGAAAAGGCTGCCACAGAAATGGTGAACGGACCAAAGCAAAAGCATCACATGTATTAATAATATGTACGCTTAGGTAGTGTTTGGATACATTGATTTTTAACCAAATAAATGAATGAATCTGAGGAAAGTACTTAAGTGTCCAATACAGCTTATAGTTTGTGTTTTGCTAAACACATTGTTTTTACAAAGATGTCTTAAATTTGACCGTGAGGAGGTGTTGAGGACACAGTATGGATGATTTGGACATTTTATAGTTCAAATAAAAAAGTTCTCCCTGGTGGAAAAACTGACATGACATCTTTGGCATTTCAGCACTGAAATTTTACAGCAGTTTTATATCAATACAGCATCTATAGGAAACTATGAATCACCAAATTTATCAGCAAAACAGATTTAAAATATTTATAATGCCAGTAACCCCAGACTGTCACCTTGGTGCCTTGATGACTACAGAGGTCCTACTGTGTAGGAAAGTGACATGCAGAAAGTGTTGATAGGAAAATGCAAAGGAGAGCCTCATTGTGTTTGTTGTTTCTGCTGTGGTGAAAGGCGGGGACCAGAAGTTTGCTATGACGGAATGAAAGGAGAGTGTCCTTACTAACAAGTGTAAAAAAAAAGATCAAGTCAGACAAATTAAAGACGGCAGTATATCTTTCCAGTTTGAGAAAAGCTTTATTGTATGGCCTGCTGTATTACCGTTAACTCTTCACAGTGCTCCTTATCCAGTTATAAGCAAAATAAAAATATGATCACATATTGTTTCAATAACTTGGATAACTGATGAGTTTTTTTAGCAGCTTCTCTAATCATATGATTTGTCCGACAGTCTCACATTACACTTACGAAAAGAAAAAAACAACCAACAACACTGTAGCCGTTACAGAGTACAAAGCCATCTAATTCTTTCAATTTCAAATTTTACCATTTGATGTACACAACACCTGCTCTGTGGTACCTGGCAGAGTTGTACAGCATTACAGAGGTTTATTTCAAAGAAACACAGCGTTTTATCAAATATCATAAAACTTCCAAACAAAACGATACTGACAATGTCACATTCGAGGGGATTTTCTGCTTGTTATTTTGTTGTTGCATTTGCTGTAACCTGACATAAGGTAGTCTCAGAGGAATAAGCAGGTTTTTAGTTACCAGTGCAAAATCAGGGCCAATATGCTTGATGTAGTGATCACATTTATTTCACCCATAACTAAAAATGAGCGTTGCATACGACCTCACTGCCACTTTGGAAATGTCTTACTGGAAACGTGTTACTGTGGTGTGCAGCTGTAAATCACGGGCCTGGCTGAGAAGATGGATCTCGAGGCCAAATAATAACTGGAACAAATATAGACATCATACACCGTGATCTATGCTCCACACCAGACAAATCTCAAGATACCTTGAGATCCCTGAAGAAAAGATTTGCACACAGTGCTGCCCTTCACACCCACTTCAATAAATAAATGAGAAAATATACTTTTTCAGGACAACATAGGAGAAGAAGTGAACCCAGGCACCTAAGGAGAAGCAGCTAACCTCTAGTGGTTCTAAAGCCAGTGACTGTAAGTGTTGTGAGAGGGAAAAGGTCTGTCGGGCTCCTTGTTTACAGTGGTGTAGAGTTAGGTGTGTATCTGGTAGTGTGTGTGTCCCTCCCTGTCGTATATCTGTACTATGTCAGACTTAAGAAGTAGCTGCCTCCTCCTCAGATGAAGAAGTCGTACCATTGCTTTCTGGCTCCTCGGCAGCGACGGCGGGTTCTGCGACAGCTTGGGCGGCCTCTTCAATACTTTCAGCTACTTCGGCTATTTCTTCTGCAACACTCTCCACCTCCTTCGCAGCCTCTGCAACATCCTCCGCCACCTCAGCGACCACTTCGGCAGCCTCAGCAACTACCTCTGCAACTTCCTCCACAAGGGTTTCAGCCTCGCTCTCAGCAGCTGGAGCGTCCTCCGTTTCCCCGACCTCGGCCTCTTCCTCTGCAGCCTCAGCTGCTGCATCTTCTTCTGCTGCTTCCTCCTCTCCGCCTGTAACACAATGACCAGAAGAAGAGTATAAGCAGACCACACACATTATGTCATCTGCAACAGTGAGCAGCCAACAGTCTTGAAGTTCACTCTACAGCTCTGCAGCCAACCAACCTACACATTATTTATCACTTGTGCAGCCAATGTGTGCATTCTACAGACCCATGCAGCGTGAAAGGCTGCATGTAAAGCAGTTAAATGATAAATGTAGCAAAGCATCACTATTTCCAAATGTTTAAGACATCTTGAGTATCTTTCAAAAGCAGCTTTATACAAGAATATTAAGATATTATCAGTAGCTAAATTTCCATCCAAGGTGTTAAACTACAAAATGGAAAAATGTTGAGTAATTCAAATCTTTTTTTATAAAAACGCAGATTCAAATGTTACATTTGATCTTAAACTCAACCAACTTAAAACTAATTGAATATTTGACCATTAACTGGACTGAACTGAGTATTAAAATAACATTCTCCATACTGCCCACTTGTGCCCATCCTTTGATCACCTACTGAAGCTCCAGAGAGCAACAACTTCATTAAGGCTGAAAAAACTTTCTTGTTAATGACAGAAAATACAATTTTAAACAGATAATCATATCACTAAATATTGTGATAAATTATATGTGGAAGAATTTTGAAAAACAGCTGTTTGATAACTTTTGAAACTACAACGTGAAGTAACATTCACACCTCTGTCTAGTATTAGGCTTCATACTGTATTTAGTTGAAATTCATTTAAGAAGCTTCG